GCAACTTTTGAATTCCAGATACTAAGACATTTCACCCACGCGATATCTCCATTATAATCAGCAATATCTTTGTACAATTTTACACAGCACGCCTTTTAAACAACAAATAGTTAAAGATTTAAGTGTATGCAAAAATACATAATACATTCTATTTTCATTTTACCTGTAATGTACTATGTTGACGTGCACTAAGATATAATTGTGTATTACTTAATATTTGCCACAATTCATGTTCACGTAATTTCAGGAGCCTCGCGATTATTCCCAATGTAGATAACAATTCGTATTGGGATTTGTAAGTTTGTGTGAATTTGTAAACGTTTACTGAGCTCTTATTAATACTTTCTTTAGAGAACTTAATCAAGAATTGAAATACAGATGGTAATACCTCTCTATAAAAGATCAATCATGGCATTACAATACATTCGGTGTGTGTTAATTACTTTTTTGTAATATATTCGATGAAATGCGCAAGATATTTTACCGTAGAGTTCTGCTTCTGATGAAGTCATTCGAAATGTTGGCGAGTACATGCAAAAGTTGCCATGCGTGATTAATGACAAGTACATTTTCATCATGAAATCTGTCGATCAGTGGATGCCATAATTGATGCACAAGAGGCAGTAGTTCATCTTCCCACTCAACTAGTATCGGTAAACCTTCTTGAAGCGTTTGCATTGCCATCAGTGATTTTTGTACATCCTTCATAGGTAGAAAGTGTATACAACGTTTCATAACTTCTATGATTATCTTTATATGAGTTGGTAACTTTTTATCTGATTTATCTAGAATATATAATAACTAATGAATCAACTTTGCGACTTACAAAATATATATAAAAATTCCTATTACCTTCTACACTGGGATCTGAGTAATCTTCGTTTATTTCTTCTGGTAACTCAGTATTCAGTACATTTACGTCTGATTCTATCTCCTCAAAATCATCCTCTATTTTTTCATCAATTTTCTTTGCATTATAGTATTCTAACAAAGAAAGAATAATTGTTTCTGAAGAATTACTTGTTCGTATATCTTCTTTTATTACTTTTATATCATCCCAATTTATTAATGTTTTTATACATATGATAAATGTATAAAATATCTTCAAGAACGAATAAGTGTCTTTTTGGCGATAAGGAGTACTTAATTGCCTAAGTACATCTTCTATAATTCCCTTTAGGTGCGGCAAAAAATCCATTCTGCTGTACTTCATAACAACTTTGATAACATCAAATACGCCAGGATTACGATTTATTTGGCGTAATTTCATTATAATGTGATAAGAAAAATAATCTACGTTAGCACGTAGCAGATCACCGATCGTCTTATGTTGTTGTGTTTCGGCGACATTTTCAAGAGTACGCACTCCAATATAACTGATTAAACTGTTCCCACTACCTAAAAATTATCCCTAATTTTTATTCATTTGTAAAAAAATTTGAATTCTTTCACTGTTAATGACATACCTGCTCTTTCAATAATTAAATACAAAGTTTTTAGAAGATATCTATCAAAGTCATATTGTAAATTTTGTGCTATAAGACCTAATCCTTCGGTCAAAAAGCAACATTGCACTATATTGCTCTGTGCTTGCACCAAAGGAGTATCTTCAGTTACTTCTGTAGGCAAATACCATACTTCCTGTGTTGTGTAAAAATCTACGATTTCTTTATATAAATATGAAGAAGATGAATCTTTAACAGAAGCTAAAAAAATTGATATTAATGAGCTTATATTAGTAAATACTTCTTCAAATACGTATGTATTGTTTGTGTTACCTAAGATCCAATTAAGTAGCAAACTCAGTTCCTTTCTGTGTTGTGATACATCCATCATAAGTTCGAGAATAGTATCGATTAATATTCTCAAATCCCCAAATTCTCGAAGCAACTTGCATATTGTAATAAGTTTCTCTTTACACAAGTTACTCTTAATAAACTTAAATTGTCTCCACGAATCTGATCCATAAAAATATGCAGGATCATCTAAATCTTTTACATTTACTGTCTGAAGAAGAGACACGTTGTTGCAATCTATGATCATAATGTATACAAGAGCTAAAAGCAATCTTTGCATGTGAGCTTGGGATCTCATAATATGAGGCAATCTTTGCGTTCCAAATAATCTTAAATATCCAGCAAATTGATTCAAGTATACTAATTGTTCGTTATCATCTAAAAAATATAGAATGGATACATGGTTTTGCGATTTCCATATATTTATGTTAAAAATTATATTATGTTCACTAATATGAAATAAAAAACTTTTAATTTCAGACAGTAAGAGAAAAATCTTACTTGATCGTCTAATAATTGTGGGCAATTTTGTAAGTAAGCTGTAAAACTTATCTTCCAATAAATCGATTAATGATTTCATATCATGATTTTGCATGTAGTTTTCACTTATTGTATACAGCACATTATGCGCTTTTTCACTAACTTCTATAGATTCGTCTTCAGACAGAGAAATCAAATAATCTATTAGTGTCATAATATTTGGTTTCATATTCCTACATAAAATATATATATACATTTATTTAATAATATTATAAAAACGTAGAAAAAAGAATAAATAGAAACAAAAAAGAGAATTTTTTACCTGCGACAATTTTCAAGTATAAGTCTAATACTTTCAACTAATTCTTTCTTAACTTTGTAGTGTGAATGGCTCCTAACTTGGTCTAATAATTTTATACAAGAACCAAGCTTAATAGCCACAGCTTCGAGCCATTCTTTATTTCTTGTAGCTCCCTTTAGATTATGTTCTATGTCGCATTTTCCATTATATTTCACACTATGTGATATGTCAGTGGATATATTGCAACCTTTTTTTATAAGTGTTTCTATAGATAATGTGTCTTCTTCAGCATCTTCTTCATCCTTATCATGGACCACAAGAGATATAATTCTCCCCCATGCTCGAATTGCTATCTATATTTGTACAATATAATTGTATAATATTTAATTATTATATAATTTAAATAATCTTTTTCTATTAAAGTGTTTTAAAAATAGTTCAATATATATAAGAATCATATATTACCATCGTAATTTTGTGATTCTGAATTTCATCTCCCATTGCTATTTCCTGTAATCCACCGATAATACCAGGAAAAAATGTCATGACAGTATTTGCTACTTGATCTTGTATAATAATATCAGATTTATTCATCTCATCATCAATATGACACAAAGCCATTACTGCATCTAATCCAGCTAATCTAATAATTAATTTGAATCAATGCTTATATATTTTAAAGTAGTACAGTATAAAACTAAAATGCTGGATAGCTCAATACTAGAGCAGTGAAACAAAAGATGAATATGATTTCCATGCTATCCCTTCATATGTTATTATAAATTTTTTAAGTGGAAAATATTCCACTGTAATAAAAATAAAATAATAAAGATATAAATTTAATCCAAAAGTTTAATTAAAATTAAACAAATTGTATTATGATGTTTTTTGAAGAATATAATCTTCCAAGCAGTAATGATAATTAAAAATAATTTTAAAAACAATTTTCCAAAGTAGAAATTGAAAATGAGTAAACTGATAAGGAGTTTACACAATTCCTTTGTATAAAAATTGCAACTGTAACAAAATCAGTTGAAAGCATTGACCCATCCAGAGTTGCAATATGCTAAAACTTAATAAAACTAAAATAATGCCAATGTCTTTTAAATACTTACTTTACAGAATATGACTTTTCGGTCCTTGCAATTGTTAGGCACAAAAATATTCCTTGACCAAGCTGCAGTATATTTTCTTTAGTATAAACTGATTCTATCACATCAGAATTGCTTTGGTAGATAAGATCTTTAATACATAAAGCTACTGCTTCCTTAAGTTCCTCATGAAATAAAATTACTGTTAAATTCAAATAATTAGATTAGTGCTAATTATTATGACATTTATTGACATACTTCAGTACATACGTACCTTGATTTGGCTGCTTTTTGTCAAAAATCTGGATTAGTAGAGATCCATAAATGTTAAAAAAAATTTTCAATTTTGTAATTCTAGTTTTTCGTATTATAACTCTCATAGTTCTTATCAATTCCTCTTTCACAGTCATGCTGTAAAATATATTATATATAATGTAAATATATTTTAGATTATATATTCGTTGTCTATATGGTTTGCGAGAATGCATATCGTATATATAATCTATTTCTTTTATTACACATATATTATAAGTTATTAAAAAAAAATACTAAATTACCTTGTATTGCTTTGCAAGATGGTGATAATAGGAATTAAACAGTATGCTGATAAATCATGCATTGTTTTATCGGGAATATTACTAGCTACTTCTGCGATTCTACATGCGTAATCCTTACTCGGATTTTTTATTAAGTTATCGCAGCAAGACTTTAGTTCGAGAAAAATCTGCATATTAAATCGCTCCATTTTGACATAAATGTTAAATTGCTTCTTTCTAATAACAATACATTTGCATGTCCATTACAATATACTTGTTCTTGCGAGATCACAGCACAATGTTGAAGAACTCTTGAATCAATTAATAATACTTTTTCTTTTTATACATATTAAGTGTATAATTTTTAAAATTTGATAATTTCTCTTTAGTTTGTTTCAAGATAGTCCTTGTATATTCATTCATTCACTGATCTCTACATATTCCTTCACATTTTTACAGATTTTGATTCCACTTGTGCCATGGATTTTACCTTCTCCTTCGTTTTCTTTTAATAGATTTCCGACCCTTAAGATCACGACACGTACCTCAAAATTTATAACTTCAAAATTTGCAACCAGGATTTTATATAAAAGTCTGTTTAGGGTCTATTTTTGCAGTTGCAGTTGTTACAGGTTATAGTATTATATTGTATTTACATATACTTTCTGCACTTTGCTTTTTAGCCAACTTATTGTTCTCTTTTTCTCTCCAACTATATATCTAAATATACAATATATCTATTTTCTTGAAGTGCAGAAGGTACGATGTAGTGCAACTACAAAGAATAGAACCACTATTCCATGCTGGTGCACTCCATACCACACATGTGACATTTGAATTGTATAAAAATACGGTATAAATATTTCATCTGATGACATTTAAAGATGCCGATTTTGGCATTGGATGTAAAAACGGTAAAATTAATTACCACTACACAAATAATAACATCCGTGTACGCCGTAGTAAAAGAATTAATAGAAAATGCAATCGATGCCGATGCAGACAATATCGAAATTAACCTTGTACGTCAACCAATATATTATAATATAGTATATTTATATATTTGCATAATGTTTTTTAAAGAAATGTATTATATTCATGTGCTTTTATGTACTTTTCAGGTAGATAATGGTACATCTTTAATAGAGGTGAAGGATAATGGATATGGCATATCTAAGAAGGATGCACCATACATGGCATTACCTTCCTATACGTCTAAAATAGCAAATTTTGAAGATCTAGGTAACGCTTGCAATCCAATCTACAACAGTCTAATTCCCATCGAAGCATTAATTCATACTTAATGAGACTTAGAATCAACAAAAGTTTTTTTTTTTAGAATCAAAATTTAAATCGATGGAAATGCATTGATTACACTTATTTCACTCCTGCTACAAGGACCGCGTTCCACTTAACGCTCGCATTGCTCATAAGCATTGTTTGTCCTTGTTTAATATTCGATAAACGACAAGGATGAAATGATTCCACAAGCGATGAGAGTGTTAAGTGGAATGTATCCTAGATCTCTACTTCTAATGGAAACAGCACACTATATCGAAATGAAACTGAATTAAGAACTTCGATAGGAATTAGACTAATATTTTAGTTTATGGGAATGTTTTTAGACTACAGTGTAGTCATAGCAATGAAGCAAATTCTTATATCTCTAATCTCATCACTTCTAGATGCATTACGAACATTTGGATTTAGAGGAGAAGCGCTTAGCGCAGTATGTGCAGTAGCAGAAGTTACTATTATAACAAAAACAGAAGAGGATAATGTTGGAACTTCATATGTAATGAATAATGATGGACAAGTTGTAAACTGTGAATCTTGTCATAGAACTATAGGTAAAAAAATAACTTATCAGTTCTTAAACTTTTGTAAGATATGTCATGATATACATGATTATAATACTTTAACACATGTATTCTTAAAAGATGCACTGATTTATTGTATATTAGGCACTACAGTACAAGTAAGAAATTTATTTAAACAAGTGCCTGTGAGGAGACAAATAATTACGAATACGAAGAAAGCTAATCAGACTATCAAATTATTAGAGACCCTAATGCAATGTTTTGGGATATGTAAACCAAATGTACGAATTCAGTTTAGAGTGAATAATAATATTACGTTTACAAAACCAAGTTTAAATAATATCAGAGAAGCTGTAAATCATATACTTGGCAGAAAAATTATGTCTAACATGGAATGGATTGAGTCTAAAGATGCAGAGGTATATTCTTGAAATTGTTTGAAAAATTATTAGTATCCAATTAAGGAAAATCTAGTTAATAATTCTTTTATGATTTATATCTTCATTATTTTTTAGTTCACTCTGCAATTAATGTTGCCTTCAAAAAAGATACAAGATTTATCAGAAATTTCTCATCCTGATTTACACTATATTCTTGTAAATAATAGGCCTGTTAAGCATAAGGCTCTTGAAAAGGTATGCAAACATTATTATGTTTAAACTCAAGTAAAAAGTGAATTTTTGTACCAATCTCGTTGCATGTAAATATAAATAATATAGTCTTTATATTTATTATAATATAGTAAAAAAGTAAATATATTTTTATACATATAGCTAACAAATGGTCTGATATTAGAATATTTTGAACAAGAGTCATATAGAAAGAAAATAATATTTCTTGTGTATATTATTTTGAGCCCAATGGACATTGACGTCAATCTAGAACCAAATAAAGATGCAATTCTTTTCAAAGATCAAGTAAGATTAAAAATTTAGATCACATTGTATTTAATATTAAATGAGGATATATTTTTTTCATAAAGCAATTATAATAATCATGTAAATTACTTATAATACGTAAAGTGTAATATAAAATACGTAAAGTGATAGTTAGATAAAAATCTTCAATTCAAAGCTTTAAAAAATGTAAAACAAAATACACATATAAATGTTACAAATTATATAATTGACATTGTAGAATAAAGTCCTTAATGCTGTAGATAAATATATAAGAAAATTCTATGGACTTAAAGCTACAGAGATTGCTGAACAAAACGTGTCGTTAGACACATCTGTCTGTTATGAGGATTATGCATCTAATCCGAATGAAAATATTGCTGACACCGAATGGCCTGCATGCAAAAAACGAAAAATACAAGAAAGAGTTATTCAAGAAAATATTGTCAAAGAGAAATCAATACTTAATAACAGTAACGAATGTAAAAAATCTTCTCAAAATGAGCAACAGAATGATAATCAGACTCATAATCAGGAACATCATGAAGATGCATTGGCTTTAACAACTCATATACAATCACCGAATTTGAGCGATTCTGATGATTCAAATGATACCTTTTCTATCACAACAGTGATTAAGGATAAAGCGTTAGTATATAGAATACTGTTAATTAATATGTGAATTTTTTTATGTTCTTGATTTTTCATATTACTATATCAATATTATAATATTTAGAAGTTATGGATAACTACATAAATATTAATGTAATTACAGAGCAGATGAAAGATTAACTTTAAGTCAATTGCCTATAGTAGATCTTGGTGAAGATTTTGACTTTATAGAAGAAATTGAAAACTCTAATATTTTTATGAACAAAAATGATAGAAAAGAAAATATCCAAGAAAAAGAGAAAATTACAATGGAAACATGGAGTAAAGGACAGATCACTGGACTTAAGGTGAAATTCTAATAATGGTAGAATATTTATTAATCTTAATTTAATTTTATTATAGAATTATAGTACAATTAATACTATTATCAAATACAACAGGGTGGTACAGATATAAAATCGGATATTGCTACTGAAAAATCAATTGACAACTTAAATAATAAACTTGATGAAACATTGGAATCAGATAGAGCACATGTTGATCATAAAGATCTTAATTTTTTAAAACATGTTAGATTACAAGGTATAATTGTGCCATGGTTCAAATTATTTATATATTGCTTGTATACATATAATAATTATATTGTAATAAAAGTGCATAGTAAATAAAATAGGTATATAAAGTACTTAAAGTTATAATAATAACTATCTTGTATTTAGTTGCAAAAGAAAATCCTACATTAACTGCAGCCCAAACTGCAAGAAAAATTACCGACTTTTGGAAGCAATTGTCATCCGAAGAACGTGGTTATTATCGCGATATTGCACAAGAAGAAGAAAAGGAACATAAAACATACGAAAAACCTGAGGGAAAAGTCGATGCAAATAAAGTAGTCTCAGGGAGAAATAAGAACAGACTTTTACAATTGTTTGAGAAAATGAAAAACGCAAAAAATGAGAGAAAAGAAAACTTAAATATGAGGACAATAGTACCTTGGATCATCGACAGAGCTAAAATAATCACAAGGTTGAGCTTATTAAGGGGTAAATGATAATGTAAGATCGTTTATTTTATGTACTAATATACTTTATTGATTAATTTGCAGATCAGATTTTGAAAGTGAACACATAATAGGTCGATTGACACCGAACTTATGGATTGCTACAATTTGTGAACAGATGTGGGTTGTAGATATTACTGGTCTGATCAAAGGTTTGAAAGTTACCGATATCGATGCAAATAAGGTACTTATTAAATATTTATTGTTATTTTCCACGAAAATTATACTGTATAAAAACATATAAATTATTTCTCTATGCTATTATTATTATTATTATTATTATTATTATTATATTAGCACTATTTCAGATTGATGCCAAGAGAATCGAACATCTTCTCAAGCAATGGTTAGTAGAACGAGATGATATGTCAGTGATGCATTCTATATACAAATTCGCGAAAAAGGTGTAGACATTCATATTATTATTGCAATTCATATAAGATATTTTTTTTTAAGTTATTTAACTAGATAATTTTATAACGTCTTTATGTCATATTTTATGTACGTACAATACGTTTAATATGCAAAACACAATCTTGATGATTATTAGACATAATTGAGGCAAAAGCATAATTTGTATAATTCTACAATTGTATACACAGCAGATAATAAAATATATATGTACAAATGATGAATAAAGTAAAAATCATAAAAATAAGCTGTAACAAATATATGGTTTTTAAGAATTAATTCCTATTGTTTAGTACATTAATTGCATATTTATGTAGCAAATATTATAGAAATAATTCCAATTGCTAATTCTTTAATTGCTAGAAGCAATATTTTGAATTTTCAGTTACTGATTGAATAATTAATGATTTACATATATGATTACGTGATTTTATGAATTTTTAATTTAAGGCGCCAATTTTACTCATCACTTTGTTATCGCCGACCTCCGTTGACTCCGATTGTCGCTAATATCGCTGTATTGAATTGAGGGAGTGTCGGAGTTGTCCGATCATACGCCATTTTGTTACATTTTCCTTGATCTTCCCTGCTCTGCTCCATTCTTTCCTTTCCGCCTTCGTTACCGTGCGAATTGTTTCGGGGATTAAGTTTTTCATATAATTTTAACATAATGGTAAGTTACTTCTTTTCAATATAACATTTATTTGCTAAAATAAACTGTAATATACAGAAATAATTAATTGAAAACCAACGAGAAAGCGAGATGCTTATTTTTCGGAAAGATTCACTTGTCGCATGGTTAAAACGGTTAGAACGAACGCCTATCGAGAAATCTGCACATGTTTTTTTATGTAGAGTTAATACTATTTATTTAATATTCATATATTTAAAGATCATATTTTCGTACTTTTTATGAATATTTTTATCTTATATGATAGAGATTATATTTTTACACATAATTAGAAACTTTTTTTTATCTGAACTTGGAGCATTGTCGATATTTCCTCTTTTTCTCTCTATATTGAAAAAAAAAGAAAAGAAATGAATTATGCAAGAAGTTCTATAAAGAACAGACCTAAAATTAATTACGAACATAATATTGAATTTTATTTTAATTTAATTACACTGCAAATATGTGCTTATTAAAGAGAGATAAATAATGTGAATATTGAACATACATAAATTTTCTATGATGAAATCTTCAGCTCACTTTGATACAGAAATGAAAAGAAAACCTTTTTACCCTGTTAACTTATTCTGAATACAGTAGAAAAGCAACTTGAAACATTTGATCTTCATTCTTGTTTTAACAGTTACATGATCTTTTATAGGGTTTTGTCAAAGTAGTTAAGAATAAGCAGTACTTCAAACGGTATCAAGTTAAGTTCAAGAGGCGTCGCGAAGGAAAGACTGATTATTATGCTCGTAAGCGACTGACTATTCAGGACAAGAATAAGTACAATACACCTAAGTATAGGTTGATTGTACGTTTGTCCAACAAGGATATTACATGTCAGGTAATTTGAAATAATATACTTAAATTCAATTACAATTGAACAAATACTTGATTGGTTGGAAATAGCATTTTAGTTATAATTTTTATGTAATATATATTAAATTTATGTAAAGATAATTGTAATTAATGATTAATGACATATATTACACAAGGTTGCCTACTCAAGAATTGAAGGGGATAGGATTGTATGTGCTGCTTACAGCCATGAACTTCCTAAATATGGAGTTAAAGTTGGTCTTACTAACTATGCATCTGCTTATTGCACCGGTTTGCTCCTGGCTAGGAGAGTAAGTAATCTTTTTTTCTTTTTCCTTTGTTTTTTTATATATTACTAACATGATGATCTACTCAGCTCGCTTTGATGTTTCTATGAAGAAAAAACACGATTCCCTGTTGTATATTCTGATTAGCAAAAACTAACAAATAATGTTTGTATAAAATAATATCAATAATTCTAATCAAATATGAAACTTTTTTTTTATAGCTTCTTAAGAAGCTGGGATTGGACTCTTTATATGTAGGTACTACAGAAGTGACTGGCGATGAGTACAATGTCGAGGAATTAGACGATGGCCCAGGTGCATTTAGATGTTATCTGGACACCGGATTAATGCGTACCACGACAGGCGCCCGAGTTTTCGGTGCTATGAAAGGCGCGGTTGATGGTGGTCTCAATATCCCTCATAGGTAAAAAATTTTGAGTACTATTGCTATTTTTTAAATATATATTTGTGCAAATAATATTTGAAATTATTTGAGCTTGCTTTGATGTTTCTATGAACACGATTGTTCCTTGTTATATATCCCAATAGCAAAAACTATTAAATATTTGTATAAAATAATATCGATTGTTGTAATGAAACAGGGAATTTTTTAAGAAGTTAGGATTATTTATATATTTTAATATTTATTTTATTAATTTAATAATTTAAACTTCAAACATCTTTTTATTCTTATAAATAAAATTAAATAAAACAGTTATTAATGTCAATTCTGTACAATTGCTTGATAACATATGTAAATGCATATTAGTTTATGACATGTGTATTTTGTAAGTTTTGAAATTTATTTTTATCTTTTTTTTTGTGTTTGATACAATGATTACTATAAAATTGCAAAATAAGATTAGTATTTTAATATGATTTTTCAAAAATACATAATTTATTATTTCAGCTGCGCTTGAATAATTTCTATTTTGTTTTATAGTACCAAGAGATTCCCTGGCTATGATGGCGAATCAAAAACGTTCAATGCAGATGTGCATCGACAACACATATTCGCTCAACATGTTGCAAACTATATGAGAACTTTAGAAGAGGAGGATGATGAAGCTTTCAAGAGGCAGTTTTCACAATATATTAAGAATGGCATCTCTGCGAATGATGTAAGTAATTGCAATGCAATAGTGAATATATCTACAACTTTAATACATACGTCCAATTAAAAATTGCTGTTTAGACTATTCAAGTCTACGTAGCGTCGCGATTGGACAATAGTAATTTTCATTGGTTGTTAAATGATAAATGCATATATAAATGCGTTTATTAAAATCAACCTATGTTACATATATACATGTTATTACATGAATATAGGTAATTGAGATAATATAAAAAAACTTTTTTAATAGATCGAGAATATATATAAGAAGGCCCACGAAGCCATTAGAGCTAACCCTGAACACACAAAAGTCACGAGAGAGAAGCCAGTTATCAAGAAGAGATGGAATCGCGCGAAATTGTCATTGTCCGAGAGGAAAAATCGCGTTGCCCAAAAGAAGGCATCTTTCCTCAAGACCTTGGAGGAAGCAGAGGTGTAATCATTCGTTCAGGATCGTCTTTTCAATGTATACACAAATTTATGTGTATTGATCGATCAAGAATAAAAGAAACTATACAAAAAAAATCTGAATCTATCTGAATCTGAACTATACAAAAAAATGAATCTGTTAATTATAATTGCGCGTATATAATTTATACAAATAATATTTATTTGTAATAATTTACCAAAATACAAGTTGACTTCTTAATCAGAAATTTTTTTTTGTAAGCTTTAATTTTGTGGTATATTGAAACTTCAATTATTTTAACACCCATCTGTGATTTCGCCACATAAGATCCATTATTGAACATAACGCCATAATTAGCGCGAGATTACTCTTGTGTATCTTGCATTACGCTTCTGGTTAATGGCATAGTCTACTTTCTCTCATGCTGTCAAATGACAAACGGATTATTTTGTATGTCTAATTTATTAATTTTTTTCATTTTTATACATATACAAAATCTGTATATACATAAGGAATATTTTGCATATTATATATTATTTCAAATCTTCGATAATATTAGGTGTTGGAATTAATTCGTAGCGTTTTACAAGTGATGGGAAGTACTTTCATTAATGTATTTTTTAATACTCATGTGAAATAAATAACATTCTTTCATTAAAAACGCTACGAATTAATTCCAACAACTAATACTATTTTTTTTAATACACAATTTTAATAATATAATAATAAAATTCAATTATTTTAGTAATTTCGTATTGTATTTTCAAGATTTAACTTAATTTAAAATTGAATGTTCGATGTTTTTTATTAATATACAACTGGATATGAATAAGTGACATTTATTTAAGATGAGAAGACTGGAATATCTTATGCAAGATTTTAACGAAAAAGTGATAATCTGCTACGAGAACCAGGTAACCGACCTTGCGCATTAAGTAAGCCGTTTTGAATATCCACCATGGAAGGTATAGTCTTCACTTCACCGCGTGCCGCTAAGCAAGGTGCTGATTTCAATAAACGTCGCGCTACTCTGTTGATGTCATCTTTAGATATTCCATCTGCAAGCATTATATTTTTTTGTGAATTAAAAATTGGAATTTTGTTATTAAATTGTAATAAACTTTATAGAACTTACCAATAGCTTGTATGAAATATTCTGGCCGTTTCCTAGTACCAGTCGCTAGGACTTGTCTACCAATGTCTTCAAATACAACGGGCCGTTGTTCTAGATTCATAAGCAGCATCGATTGCAATTGTTTCTTGGCTCTCTACACAAAAGATAAAATTCCAAAATGTAATCAATATATGTATAAAATATAATTAATATTAATAAACGATTCAGAAATGTGAATCAATATCATACTGCTAATTCGCTATCAGAGATTCCGCTTGTCATGGTGACCATCTCGTGTACAATTACTTCCACCATATCCTTCACGTGAGACGGTGTGCATGAAGCGTGAATACAAAATAGACCAGTGTCTGCATAAGCATGATTGTATGCAGTTGCACTGTATAACCAATGATATCTACAATATAATTTTCTTGATGTAGTTCTCAATTAAAAATTTCAAAAAGTACAAGTATGATAAATCTATTATTTGTATATTTCTGTATGAATATAAATCATAAATTTACTCTTTTTTCGTAACATTTTAATTACTTAAGTTAATAGGAAAAGATATAAAAAGATATACAGTGAAAAGATATAATTGCTTTATATTATATAAAAACCTCTTTTTTTATAAAACATTAATAATAACATAAATCTTACCTATTCAACACATTGGTGTACAAACGCGTGTACATGCCCTTTCCAGGACCACCAGCACTAAAACTGCCACCGCCTCCCATCATCATATTTAGTACACACATAGCAACAAAATCTGGATCTTGATGAGAACAGCCTTCTAAACCTATTGCAATGTGTGATAATTCAGGCAAGCCACTGGGTCCAGCATAAATTGGCACATTACATTCCTCCTATTAAAGATAACACACATCAATTATTTATTTTCTCCAATTCTGCAACAAAAATAAAATTATTTTAATATACTTTATATGAGTGATCATACCAAAACATATCCTCCAGTATATTGTGCGATGGACACATCGACAGTATTTGCATTATTTGGGAAAATAAGATCAGGTTGTTCCTCCCAGATAGATTTTTGATCTACAAAATATCTAAATCAAAGATATTATTATTGTATAAACAAAAAATTTCAAAAAATGTTTATAACACTATATCAATATATCGTGGATAACAATAATATTAAAATCTTATACTAAAAAATCTATCTTATAAAATATTTATAAATTACTTAAATTCTTATAAATATATTTTTAAATCAATTTATAAGCATTAAATTACTTAAATTATTTAACTAAATAAATTTGTCATCTATAGAAAATTTATGGCTATTACTTAGTAACGGCGTGGATCAGGTCATCATGTTCAATACCAACTCCAGCAATTACCATTCTATTTGGTACATAATGATGCTTGAGATACGTATGTAAAGTTTTTCTATCAATTTTTTCAATATTCTTTTCTGGACAGATCTTGGGTAAACCTAATGTGTTGTGCTTATATGCAGCCTACCAATATAATATATACATATAATTACATCTTTTTTTCCTTTACAATAAGAAAATACACTTATAATTTCACTAGGAAATACTAGAAATGTGTATTTAAAAAACTATTACTTTAAACTCACAGAATGAATCATGTCCATTAATATAGACTCTTGTTCTGGCCTGGTGTGTAAAGATTCCAATTCAAAATGTACTGTTTGTTTAGCTATTTGTACCTGGAAACAATTTATTTTCATATAAATACACACACACACACGCACACAAAAGACAAATGTTTCAGAGTTTGTTGCTAATGATATATAGTTTAATTAAATAACATGATACAATATTTTTTTGTAGAATATTGTACATTATACTTACTTCTTCCTCTGTAATTTGAGGTCTTAAGACAACATCACTCAAAATTTGAGTTACTATATCTAATCCACGACGTTCTGCCGATGCTGCGTAGACAAATGTGTCACGAGATGCTTGACAGTCACATATACCACCATGCTTTTCTAATGCCAGCATTATCTTATCCTTGCTGTCAAATGTGTTTGTAGACTGTAACAATTAACACAGTATAATTTTTTATATATTTGTGACTTACTATGAATTAAGAAAGATTATGAATAATAGAATATAGAATATCTATTAATAGGTGTAAATTATTGAATAAACTATACTCTGTGTGTGTGTGTGTGTGTGCGTGCGTGCGTGCGTGCGCGCGCGCGCGT